TCAACATATGCTAGAGGGACGAGTTTTCATGATCTTCACAGATCACAAACCCTTAACCTATGCGTTTCAACAGAATAAAACTTCTCCTCAAATGAGACACCTAGAATTCATAGGGCAATTTTCAACAGCTATCCGTTATATTGAGGGTTTGCAGAATATTGTTGCAGACACCTTGTCTCGTATTGAAGAACTAGCCGTTCCTTCGCCAGTAAAGTTTGCTGCCCTTGCGAATGAACAACACCGAGATTCAAAACTGCAAACCCTCTTGAAAAGCAAATCTTCCACCAATCTCAACTTGCAGCCTGAGCAGCTGTCGACTGGAAAATCACTTTATTGTGAAGTTCAGGATTCAAGATTTCGACCTTATGTTCCCTCCGGATTTCGCCGTGCCATTTTTAGTCAGTTACATCGTCTGTCACATCCTGGCATCAAGGCTTCGAAGAAACTGACAGAAACGTTTCGTATGACCTAGCATGCAAAAGGACATAGCCAACTGGACACATTCGTGATTGGAGGGCCAAAGATCTAAAATTGTCAGACACACAACCAGCCAACTTAAAAATTTTAATTTGCCCTCATCTCGCTTCAGTCACGTGCACCTCGACTTGGTCGGGCACTTATATTTATTAATAATAATATAATACATGGATACAATTAATTATTATGTATACATTTTTCTTACCTTGGATGAAGCAAATTCATCATTTACTTCATCAAAGTCGACCCTTTCTAATTTTTCTCTTTCCACACTTAAAAATGCTAGATGACTTAGGGGATTTTGTCCCATCGCTGAATGTAAATATGTGAAAATTTATTTTAATTTGCTGAAAGAACGTTCATAGTTAGCATTTGATAATGAAGTAGTAAGTAGTATTTGAAGTGCGACTCTTAGGCTTAGAAAACATTTACTCCATAGATCTGTAGTGGAGTTTTAAGTTCTGTTTCTTTTCTACTGCGGAGTAACGTCATGCATTCACATTCAGTGCTCAAAACAGTTAAGGAATTAGGGGTTAGGATTATTCAATTATGGCAAAGCACACGAGGGCTATCTACCTAAAGGGAGGGGATGTCTTCATGGAGGTCTTTCTAAGGGAAACTGGCTCGTATACACGTTACACATGGGGAAAACCACGAAAACGCCCATGCAGCCAGCCCGTTCGCGGGATTCGAACCTCGGACCGAACTACCAGTGTTCTGCGTCTTTACTGCTCGGCCGCTGGTGGGCATAATTAGAGGATATTGTGGGTTCGGTATGAAATAACCATATAATGGACAACCGTTTTGAACAAAATGAAATTGAAGAGATTATAAAGGAAAATTATAACGTTTACAAGTTGGGAATATGCGAATTTAGTCTGTGACGTCGAAATCTATGAGTTTTAGATAAGGAGTAAGGAGCAACCTGCAGTATTCCTTTTGTAATAGGAGATTAAAAACAATTGACATGCGTTGAATGCTTCGTAGCAGTGAATATACGATGTCTCAGCAAGATGACTTAGTTGAATCGGTAGCCAGGAAGGCCATCAGTCGTTTACAGGAGAGTCAAACGCAATCCATTGTAGCGGAAGCATTAGGAATTTCCTAAAATGTCATTTCCAGATTATGGAATCGGATTTTGGAAAGTGGATATGTTTGAGAAATCGTTTTAAAATAAAAAGCGGAACATATACGTGCATTTCGTTTTAAAAAAATATACCTCTACTTTGGAGAAATAAAGTGGTCAGGAAAAACGTTTTGGTTGATGTACTGCAAAGATTTTATTACACATTTTATCAGACAAATAATTAATTACAATAGTTATTAATTTTAAATATATTTTCCAGAAATCGATCAAAATTAAAACTGAAATTTTCCGGAAAATCTTGTTTGGAGACCATTTGGCGCCCCTGTACGAGCGGCGCCCGGGGCATAATGCACCCCCTTGCCCCCCCCCCCCCTCGCTACGCCACTGTTACTGTTGAATTGAATTTTATGTTTAACTGCAAAGCACGTGATATTTAATTAATAAGGGTAACAACAAAAAACGTTAAAAAAATTCTCCTTTGGATGTAGAATAAAATCTGAAAGTTTTCATATTTTTTAAATTACTATAATTTTTTTTTGTCTTTCTAGTTTTATTATTAAGCATCGTTTTCTTCGCACTTATGTCTCATGATGTTCAACAATAAAAATCGCAAAATTTTTAAGACCTGCATAGCAGCATATTTCGTAGATTAATATGACATTTTGAACAATGTTTTTCCTCCTAGCATAGTTTTAGGAATTAACGTCAGCGTACACCATACTTTTACATTTTTTAAATACAGTGAAACTCCAATTATCCGTATCAATTGGGGCCGGACTCCATTCGGATAATTGGATTTTTGCCGAAGAAAGGGTCTACGTACACATTTATTAATTACTGTATGTACTGCATATAGAAATTGAGAGAAAAAAAACTACTTTTGAAGAAAGAGAGGTTTTAATTAGTTAAAATGAAAAGTACACTTCTACGTATATGTTAGATAGCGTACTGTACAGTACTTACAAATGTTGGTGCCTGCACTTAAAATTTCTTAGCTAGCCGCTACATGCTTTAAGGAATGACCAGCCAAGCTTCTGAGCTAAGATTTTAGCTTTTTCACAAAGAATCCGACCCGAAATTCGTTTTCCCACAGAACGTTGTTTCAAAAACCATAGAACGTTGTTTCAAAAGAAAACGAACATCTTCTATATTTTTGGTTGTTACTGCTTTCACTGATTTCTTAAAAAACTTCCATCTTCGTTTGCAAGCACTGACACGAAGTTTAAAAATGTATGTTTGCTCCTTTTAATGTCTGAAATCGTTGATTGTCCAACGCTACGTTTTCGTCTTAATTTTTTATTGGAGTTGTATTGAAATAAATATGCCTTAACTTTTGGATGCATGCCTGTCTTTCCCTGGGGAATAAACATTGGACGAAGGTGGAGACTTTTAAGGAAAGGAAAGCCTCCACCCGCATGTCAAAGGTGTTTTGTTCAACGAATTTATTAAAAGTGATCACTCTGGTCGTGCACGCGTAACATTAGTGACTTCCCATTGCAGAGTTCCTGTAGACTTTTTGACCGATGTAACTAAATACGGAGAAAGAAAATTTCGCTTGTACATAGTCTTACTTTTTTGTCAGATTGTTATCGAATCGCGGAATTTAGCGGAAAACTTTTCTCCTGTTGCATTCTGTTTGACAGCTAGATATCGGCAGGGCATCGAGGTCAGAAAGTGTTGGACTCTTCCACCTTTGTTTTCAAAGTTACACTTCTAGGTTAAATTTCCTTCCATACTCTGACACTGTTTCCAATACTTTTTCTATTCCATAGTGGCGCTTTAATCGATTTATCTTTTTTCATTACCTGTGGTGAAAAAAAAAGAATGCTTTTTGTATCTGTCGTTTTTTAAAGTAGTACATCGTACCATATATTCAGGGCTTAAACTCAGCCGAATGGCTGAACTATCTCTTAGCTTTAGAAGGAAATTGTAATTCCAGCCAGAGCCCCAAATTCAAGGTCCGAACTTAAAGGAAAAAAAAAAAAAAAAAAAAAAAAGAACACCACTCACATATTCGAAACAATTTTTAACAATTTCCTAAGAAAAGAATTTTAAATCACTTTGGGAAACTCTGCGGAGAAATTATACTTCTCACTGAAAATTTTCTAAGATCACAGTACGAAAGTACGTACGTAGTTTGAAAGATCAACTTAATTTAGACGATACTTTTTATATTATGTAAATTCTGATAATTTCAACACGTTTAAAAGTTTTTTTCAAATAGGGTAGAAGGATAAAGCAGAAATGCTGCTTATTGAAGCTTTAAGTTAAAACAAATCATTTATATATTTCAGCTTCAAAGGTCCAACCTGATATTAAAAATTCAGATTTGGAAGAAATACTAAAAGGAAAAAATAGCAAATATTAAAATTACTGCTATTATATCCAATATAAATTCTCACAATATTAAAATTAAAAAAGTCTGATCTTCCTTAATATGCATACAGAAATGGGCAGATGGAGATTTACAATTAAAATAAATGAAACACTCAGTTTTTTTCTTCCAAACAGTTCTAAGAAATGCGGACAGTCAGACGATGACTGGTGGAAGGACTATCATGATCAACAGACTTGAATACAAAAGCATTTTTTTTGACGTTGTCGGATATAGAGCCTGTTCACGAAATGTACATATTGTACATGATATGGTTACATAAGCAGGAGAAATGCAGGAGCAGGAGAGATGAAAAATTAGCAATGTCCTCACTGGCACTCGAACACGAACCTCTAGAATACGCGTCGAGAGTGCTAACCACTACACCACGAAGGCATGCTAAGAAGGCGGGAGAAATACCTTATATACTCCCCCTTTTAAAGGGCGACTGGGGATTTAGGGAACCCAATCGCCAAATCCTGATGGTAAAGAATCATCCTTCCCCACCCTTTAGCTCGGGCGCCACCGTAGAGACATTAGGTATTTTTCGAAAGCAGGAGAGATGAAAAATGAACAGTGTCTTCGCCGGGACTCCAACCACGGACATCTCAAATTCGCTTCGAGAGTGCTGACCACTACGCCACGAAGCCACGTTAAGAAGGCGGGAGAAATACCTTATAAGACAAATAGAAATTTATAGCTCTAAAGTACTTGCCAAAAAATGCAAAAGTCAGTTGAATGTCGCAAGTAGATTGCTAAAATGTTTAAATGAGGAAGGTTGGGATTAAGCCAATAAGAGCTTGCATTCTATATTATTCAAATATTATTTAGTTTGTAAAAACCTTTTAACAACGATAACCAGCATTTAATTTTTTATATAAATATAAATCAGCTTTTTACTCATAGCTGAAACGATGAAAGGGTGGAAGAATGCATGAATGGGTGTAGATATAAATGGCACATGTGTCGTTTGTCATGGCAGTGTCTAGTTCTTTACATTGTAAGAATAATACAATCAAACAATTTCATCACATAAATTTATTTACATTTTTAATTATTAGTCAATCCGTAAATGTGTACAAAAATAAGTAAATGGATTCTTTCAATTGCTTAGCAGTTCATAAAAATAATAATAAAAAAATGTAAAATTTTACAATTTTATATTTCAGAATACGATAAAAAAAAGGGGAATGGTTGCGGTTTGATATCTCTGTTTATTATGGCGTAGTTCTAATATATTTTCCCTACAGCATGCTATTGTTACCTTAAATACTTGTAGCTGTCTAAAATGTAATTATTATGCGAGATTAAATAAAAAAAGTCTTCAAAATATGTGTTAAAACAAAAATAATTGGGCATTTCTAATGATATCATCAAGAACTACTACAAGTAGTATATATTTTGCATTGCCAGAATATTAAAAGGGGGAAATTGCGCTTCTGTTTAAAAATTATGACATTACAGGTACCAAAAAAGTAAAACACAATTAACGAAGCAAAGCAAAATTTTGTAATCAAATTTTAAATAATTGTTTTAAATCAGGAATTGTAATTTGTACTTTAAAATTCTTCAAACCATTTCTAGGTTAGAATCCCCTCCTATTTCAGAAATAATCACTTTTCTGTAAAATGCTTTTGGATAATTACTTGCATATGCTTAATTATGGCATTTTTGCTATGCCGCCTATTGCAGAAGTCTTAAGTACACTACATTTAGAACGTGAAGATTCGGATCTCTTCATATGGTAGAAAAGGTGCAGCACCCTTATGAAGGACAATTTTTAACTTGAAAAAGCAACTCTTATGAAAGTGTCTTATTGGGGCACCGCGGCTATGCAGAAAGGGTTTTGGGTTGCTATCGTAATTAACACAGCGAAAGGAAATCATTCTTGTTTGGCGGTATCCCAGGGTGAACGTACCGCCCCCTGCCGTTATGCAGCGATCTTTATAATCAAGAATTTCGACATCTTAGTGTCAAAAATGATTCTAACATAAATAATATATTGCTAAGTAAGAAATCCTCTTAAAAGCTTCATTTTCATTTAACCTCAGAAGATCAAATGAGCAAATTTCAATCTCAGATAGCCAATTCTATTTTACTTCAATATCTACATTAAGAATTTGTGCATTGGATCTGTATTTTCATTGACCATCTTGTGAAACTATCAGTTAATAAATGCTATTTGTTTCATAGATGACAATAGCAGATCTATGATTTGTTGATGGCTAAAGATAAGTAGTACGTTTATATCGATGGTTAAATTTGCGTTTAATAATATATAAAGAAAAAATTAAATAAAAAATTATGCATTCATAGCCCGAATCATTAGTTACATACTTTTACCGATGACAGAAAATATCTTAAATGCCTTTGTTTAATTTTTTTTATCAATATGTGTGTTTATATACAAATATTTAAATCATGGTATCAATAGGTTTATATTAATATACCTATCTATCATTTATTAGTTATTTTAATAAATAGGACATAATTCTTAGCAGATAAATGCACAATTTAACATTCAATTTTCTATGAATTTTATGTATGTTCTCACAGTTTATCCAAAGCGTTTGTTGAGATCTTTTGCATCAGATGTATAAATTCACAATTCATTACTTTTAGGTACATAATAAGACCAATAACTAATATTAAATATAATAAAGAAAAATGGAAATAATTTTCTACAAAATCCATCAATGTCGAAACCTTGCTTCTCGGATTCTTGAACAGAATTGAACACTTTACGATTGCTGCAAAATTTGCATCTCACATCGACAGGATATATTTTATTTCTCTGTAAAAAATGTACATTATTTTTAACTTAAAAAGATTTCATAAATAATAAAAGCAATTTAAAAATTTATACATTAAATAAATAAAATTCTGAATAGACACCATTAGATGCCTACTTCTAAATTAAAAAAAAATAATAATATATTTATACATGAGGACTCCCATGGTGTAAATGTTAGCACATCCAACTAAGTGGCAAGCGTTAGCACTGGAACTATCTTGCGCTGTAAATCTCAGCACAGGAAGGTTTATAGGACAAATATTGGCAAGGATGATGTTTATTTCTCGTGCTTCCTAGCTTCAAGAAATCTAGTGGTCGATAAATTTTTTCTAAAGAAAAAGGCATAATAGGACAAGGATTTGAAGAGGATGCCATTTTACCTAATATTGAAAAGATAATATTTATTCGAGTTTTTTTTCCTTTCGAATTCACTATAATCACAAGTGCTTTTATTTATTCGTCTTTTTTTATCGTGTAAATGCATAAATTCTTAAATTTCGAATTGTCTTTCTCTGGAACAATCCTTTTTCCAATTTCTCTGGAATAATTCTTTGCTCTGCTCTAAAAATATTTTAAAACTGATACAAATATAAATCATAAATCTGTCATTCTTTATAAACATTTTGCCATTTTTATAGAATCATTTATTTTACAAAACAATTTACAAGTCTTTTACAAAACGTACTGACATTAGAAAGATATTTATGGAAGTGTGGATGGAGAAAAACTTACACCTGAGTAATAAAGTAACCTCTTTAAAAGTTTTCCTAATAAAAAAAGTCATTTATTTCCACAAAAAGATAAATTATAAATATTACTTCTATAATAAAACTCTTCTTTTCATCTTCTTGAAATAAAACCTTTTAACTATGTAACTGAATTATTTTTATAAATATACCTATTTAATGGTAATTTATGCAGAACTATTTCCTCCCCAAGTTATATCCTGACAAAAATCAACTTGCGCCTAAAAACAGATGAAAAATTTAATTACGTTTTATTTTTCTACTCCTGCTGAGTTACGTAACACATGCAAAGTCAATGCATGCAGCACAGAATAAATTCTCTAAAATAATGTTAGCAAATTAGGTGAGTGGTGTTTTTAGATACCAAGAACAAATTTCTCTCAAACAATACACATAGCTATTCCTCTCAAAGAATTATTTAAGGAATCTTAGCATGTAACGTCAATATAGGGCTAAATCTAAATCTAAACAAGTCAAATGCAAATGGGTATTACACTAAAGTTAACTTTCACTACTAGCTGAACCACTATCAGTAAACAAACATACTCAATGATTCAGTTTAAATCAAGTTTACTTCACCTCACCACATATATTAGAGTAAACTAAATACGAGAACTGCAACATCATCAATCATCTGGACCTGGATGTAGTCACCAATCATCTGGACTTGGATGTGAACACAAAATTGGCCTTTAACTGTCTTGTAAGTAGAATATTTAATTACTTCCTAATAGAGGCTCAAATCACGGATCGACCAACAGCTACTCAAAATCTGATCTTACCTACCAAATATACCTACGCGAAGCAGCGGCTATTTTCCAAGTGTCTTGCTGACCGGTAGTCAATGAACGTTAATTCAAACTCTCATAGTTAGCGAACTATTCTTTATATTAAACTGTTTTCTACTAATCTGTATAATCCCTTGAATGAGCGAGAATGTGACAAGCAGCCCCATCGGGGTAGTGATTAGCAACTCTGATTGCTGTACCGAAGGGCCCTGGTTCAAATCTCAGAGAAGACCTCTCGAGAGGTTGGTGGAAGGGGAAGAGGAGGAGACATTCGGACCCATCTCCCGGGGTGCTTTCTATCAAAAATTGGGGTGGAACTGAGCAAAGTCCTACTGTCACGATGTATGGTGCTCGAGGCTCTTGCCAACGACATGCGCAATCTTGCATTCCTTACCAAAATGATTTCGTGGGCTTGTTCTGATATTACTGTTAGACAAATGAGATAAGTCACAACAACAACAACAGAATGTGAATGAAAATAGAGCTATAGGAAAGATGCAAATTAAAATCAGATTGGTTAATGAAACTCAAATATAACGCTACAAGCGAACTCGAACGGCAGTGGACAACAATGCGGCTTCTAACAAATGTAGGACTAGTTCCTAAATTCTTCGGAGAAGCAACGGCGGACATTCAGTCCACCAAGTATGAATTTTCGTGGATTTAGCTTCGAAGTTCTTCTTCACGTGTTCCTAATTTACGTAACCCTTTGGCCTGAGCTAATATATGTGACATGAACTAAAATGTCACTAAAGCATCACTTTATTTGAGCTTAACTATGAGGAAACTTTCCAAAAAAAGACATTAGTTGTTGAGTAATGAAGGCCTGAAAGTTAGATGCGGAGAGTTAGTCAGTCTGTGCTTAGTTAGAGAGTCCATCGATTTGACAGTCGGTCAGCGAGTGCCGAGTGGGTCGTTGGGTGCACCGAAAGAGTCTCTTAGTGTATCGCGGTTAGTGCATCGTCGAGAGAGTATGTTCCAGTATTTCAAGAAAATTCACTCTCCTCACAAACTGAGTGTGTGCCTCATAGTGCAGGTTTTGCAGACAAAGATTTGATTCTAAACCTGGATACTTCTGCTTGTAAAGGATCGGACTCTATTCGAGACCCTGGTGCAAACACCGGAACTGGCTTTCAGGAAATAGAAGTAAATAAGCATAAACCATTTGCTAAAAGTATCGAGGTAAACTGTACACATGATGCTAACAAATTTCAGAGTGGTGAACAAACTTTTTCAGATCTCCCTGTGGATGAAAAGTCAAAAAGTACAGAATCTTCAGACTGTGATGGGCAAAACAGAAATACATCTGAGAACTGAAGTGGAAAAGTATTTGACACGAATAAGACTTTATAGAAAGACTGAGACTAAAATTCATTCTGAAGGTTTAATGTATATAATTTAAAATTGTTATGTATTACGTTATTGCTAAAGTCTCGAGAGTACGTAGAGCTCCGAGAGCGACCAGGCAGAGTCGGGAGCTGCACTCTGGTGCTTTGCCGTGAAGCTGTCTCCACCGTTATAACATGATAGTGCGAAGGGTGTGTCGCTGATCGCGTCAGCATGTTTTATTGTAGTTCTTCGACGACTGTGTAAACGTGTTATTGGAGCTGTTTTGTATAATGCTGGCCAATAAAGTATATTTCGATACTTCATCGAGTGTCGTCGTTATTCACTCCAAATCCGCACGAACCCCGTAACGACCGTAACGTAATAAAGAAGGAAAAAACGTAAAAATATATTTAATGATTTAACAGGTCAACAAGTCACGTGCCCTTTCACTTTTTTGTGATTCAGTGCCAACAGTGAAACGACATTTTGTTTCGAAGATTTTAAATTCCAGGAGTCAGTTTGGGATTTTGTATATTGAATTGCGATGGAATGTTGTATGACGATGCTTAAATAAATGTTCTTGTTTTGTATATTTGTTACAATATTTTAAAAAGATTCATTGCACGAATGCACATGCTGCTTGGCACGTTCATTGCTAAAACGATGCATACATCTTTCGTGATCGAATGAGTGATTAAACTTTCAAAAGTGTCTAAAATAAGAGTCAAAAGTTCATGAACAGAATCTGCTATTTTATCAACTTTCATTAACAATGTTTTTTATGGTATGTGTGTCGAGGTGCGTTTGTTCATCGGATGTGGATACATTTTCCAATTAATATTTATTCTATGTCTTGTTTTTATTGACCTACATTTCCCGCGGAAGTAACGTTTATACTTAATGATATTGCTAAGTGTTACGAAAAACTTTGTGAAAGCAAAGAAAAACTTGTCTCAAATTCTCAAAACTCTGAATCCAATTTAGAAAACTTTAGGGAAAAAAATGAAAGGATATACTACGACCATGAATTTTCCAAATATGCATTTTCAGTGCAGCCACACTGATCAAATCCAAACTGCCATGTTCCTTTTAATAATAGCGACTTCTTGTAAATGGGAATTCTCAGAGAGAACCTTGCCCCACCAGTGACCGAGCGGTTGAAGACTTCTGAGCATTGGCAAGTTCGTCCTAAGTTCGAAATCAGTGAACGAACTGACTGCACATACTTGGTTTTCTCCATGATTAACGTCAACAGGAACTGGTTTTCCTTCGAAAGCACTTCCTGAAGGTATTCCTCCTGTGATGCTTCTTTGGCGATATGAAGCAACTCCAATGATGGAACACAGCAATAACTTTTATTTAACACTAAAAAAATGGCGACATACAAACAAGAAGAGAAAACATATTCTATCATTTAAAAATAAATTATATTCTTCGTGCGAGAGTCGCACGAGGCACTCGAGTCCTGGTTTCAAATATTGCCATTCACAAATACCTTAATGTTCATCTATTTAAATTATTTAAACTACAAGATTTTAATATTATTTAAAGCTGTTACAACCTCTCCCCCAACGGAGAGACTTTTACCGAAGGGAACATTTCTGTAAATTTCGAAAGTTTATAAGTTCAGCTTGCTCAATTGCTTAAAGAGAAAAGATAACTTCTCTCATAAGTTTCCAAATTTTCAGGCCGAAAATTTTAAATTTTAAACAAATATTTTTACACCACATTTAAAAATAGGAAGAAAATGGACAGTGTTCAAATTAGTCTTCTTTTTTTTTCTTGACGGCGCCTAGATCTCTTCCATGGTGGACCAGTTCCTCGGCTATAATTCACAGCAAAGCTTTTCCTCGGTTCATCTGAGCCTTTCGGATAATATTCATTTGTCATTTGCTTTCGACAATTGTTTTCTTCGTCTATTAGTAGCGGCTTTGATATTAAATCAAAAGCCAAAAGATGATGATAACTCTGCATTGCAAAATGTTTCTCAATATTAATTTCTTTATCGTTTTTCAAATTTTCGTGAACGTCTTCCTCTTTTAATTCTGGTGATTTAACTTCTTCTTCAAATACATCTCTGGATGCTTTATTTTCTTCCTTCATCGGTTCCAAGATCTGCTCTTCAGCTATTTTTCTTTTGCTTCGAGCTCTAGTAGAAATGGCATTAAAATGGTATCACTAAGTTTACGTTCAAGTGATAAACTAATAAAATAAGGCAGTTCAGTGTTAACAGGAAGTAATAACCTGATATCACTAATATTACGTTCAGTGATGAACTAATAAAATAAGGCAATTCAATATCATCAGGAAGTAATAACCTGGTATCGCTAATATTATGTTCAGTGATGAACTAATAAAATAAGGCAATTTAATATCAACAGGAAGTAATAATCTGGTATCACTAATATTACGTTCAGTGATGAACTAATAAAATAAAGCAATTCAATATTAACAGGAAGTAAAAATCTGGTATCACTAATATTATGTTCAGTGATGAACTAATAAAATAAAAATACGCACGATTATTCGATCTCGGTCGGTGCCTCCAAAATAATTATGACTGTGATGCTTCTTTGGCGATATGAAGCAACTCCAATGATGGAACACAGCAATAACTTTTATTTAACACTCAAAAAAAAAAAAAAAAAAAAAAAAAAAAAAATGGCGACATACAAACAAGAAGAAAAAACATATTCTATCATTTAAAAATAAATTATATTCTTCGTGCGAGAGTCGCACGAGGCACTCGAGTCTGGTTTCAAATATTGCCATTCACAAATACCTTAATGTTCATCTATTTAAATTATTTAAACTACAAGATTTTAATATTATTTAAAGCTGTTACACTCCTCTTTCACAGATAGCCCTGGTGTGCTTTTCCATTTCAAATAAATCTAACCCAGAAGCAACCACTAAACTTTTGTGAAATAGCCTGCGCTCTGATTCAGTTGAACATTCAAATATATACACACATTTTTGTTATTATATTGACAGCGTAGATCAAGATTCATATAAAAATACTGAATCCTCCATTTCAATTAAGCCAATCATCCAATATATTATCATTTGTTTTGTTAGTCTTAAAACCCCAAAAGATAAAATTTCACCTGTTGTTTTATCTGAGTCACCCCTAAATTGATTAAAATTAGAAAATAAATTTTAGCTCTTGTAATCAACAAGACTTATGGCAATCAGAAATCAGATTTGCTGATAATTAAAGTCTGTTCCATAGAAGATTTTAGCAAAGCAGCAACGCATTTTAAAATGAAAAGTGCCATTCTACGTTTATGTAAACGTAAAGAAGAGAAAACAATGAAAGGGGTAATTAAAAAAATTATTCTATAATACGGACCCCAATGAAATAATCAGGGAACTAAGGGAAGCTGGCTTTCCAGTCATTAATGCCCAGCAGTTTACGTGCATGTGCTCTGCACAAATTGTGAATATCCCAGTTTTCATACCGAAACTTACTTATGATTTTTTTTTTAAATCAACAATCGGCTCACCAAAATCTGGCCGATAAATTCGCTGAAGTGCATAGTTCGACCCAGGTTTAAAACCTGTGGACGGGCTAGCTGCATGGTGTGGTCTTCTTCATACGGAACGTGAATATGAGCTAGTTTCTTTCATAAAGACCTTCACGAAAGTATCCCTTCTGTTACGTAGAAAATCCTCGCTTACTTTGTAGAAATTAATCAAAACAAATGAAACCGTAAACTCCAAATGAAAGTTATAGACATAAATAAGGATCCATGCAGTGTTATAAATACCAGCGACATGGTCATACGCATGAAGCTGTCATAGTAGCATCTTATGTGGTAGTTGTTCTAACATTTTAATATTTAAATACAGAAAATTGAATCTCGGCTTGACCCATAAGGTATAAAACAAGTTATTACAAAATGTACTGTTTCCTCAGGAAAACACCTGCCCAACATCAGATTCTAACCGAATTATATAAAAAGGAACATTAAAATTATATAGGTTGAGGAACTAAAAAAATCAACCTAGCATAAATTATGAGCCAACAGCCTTACATGGGCACTTAACCCTTTCCGGCACGCTACCTTTTAAAGTTGAAGTTTTGATTAAAAAAAAAAAAAAAAAAAAAAAAAAAAAAAAAAAAAAAAAAAAAGGTAGGCTGTCGTCTAATTAGGCCTAGAGGAGTACACAAGTAAAATTTTGTGAAGATAGCACTTATCTCTTTGTGCCCAAAGTGGGCACACTGATTGAATAGAGCTTCGAAAAGAGTGCTGAAACGAGCCTTGTTGTCAATGACTGACCGATGGGATGCGGAGAAACAAAGAATACGGACTCTCAGTTGTCCTAGATTATCGGTGAGCCCGGTCTGGGCACATGTAGGGTTTGCCGTTTGATTTTAGGCAAGATTTCAAGGTAAACATTTAAAACTAATATAGAATAAGGATATTAGCATACAGCCAAAAAATAACATAGAAATTTCTTTTCAAACAATTCCTTTTATACCCTAAAAAAGTCTGGAAGATTTCTTTGAAAAATGAGGGTAAACTAAACTTAAGAAACTAAACATGGCTAAAATATTTGGACTTATTTGTGGTGAGCTGCCATGTACTACAAATAAAGAAGGTTCAGAGTAACCTATAGTAAGCTATATATCCTTTTTCATTCAATTTTTCTGTGCATACAGAAGAAAATTTTTAGGTGTTTCCAGACCGGGCACACTATGCCGCAAAAGGTTAAGCAGTCTTGCACGAGGTTCCAAGCAGTGGCGTAGCTAGGATGGGACAAGGGGAAGCATCTGTTCTTGGACGTAGCCATTCAGGAGGCGCCAAATTCAAGTTACGAAATTTTAGAACGAAATATTTTTCATTCTTGTCCCACAGAAAAGGACGTAAAATCTTCAGTTGTCTCCGAGCGCTGAAAATCTTAGCTGCGCCGCTGGTCCCAAGGCAGCTTGCACATATCTGGTACCGGTTACAGCACCTCTATCATAGATATACAGCTCGATGCGACCATTTTTAATGATTTTATCCCAAATTAGGTAACCTCTTTCTTGGAAACAGAATCTTTTATAAGCAAGTAGTTTGCATGTTCATCTCTGCTTCTAAATCAAAATACATCTAGAATCACAGTGCAGGTTATAACTGGACTTATCAGTAAACAGTACGTGATTTCATTTCTCTTGGCTCTATTGAACATGACAAGAACACGATCTTAAACGAACGCGTTTGGAAGAAGGAGTAAGTGAGACACAAATCATTGATTTTATCATATAAAATCCAACCTCATGAAGCTTTCGTGCAGCTGTAGAACGTCTTATTCGAGCTTCAGTGGCAAGCTGAAAGTTTAAAACAAACTGTCTTGCAGTCGCGTCATAGTTTTTTCAAGACGAGAGTAATAGACACGTTCCTCGGATGCAGGTTTTTCTCTTAGATTCCTTTGGCCAGAATGTCTAGGAATTTATTCACTCTCTTAAAAGCTGTTTCAAGCTCTTGATATAACGCTTTTAAGGGTACTCAAAACATTTCGACCTCCATTTGCATTTGCTTTCCCCCTTCAAATCTACCAATTAATAGAAGATTTTACTATTAATTTAAATTATACCTTTGAATTGTAACTAATGAATACTAGCCACTTTCAGAGACCATATTAAATTAAACAGCGCTACGCATCCTGATTCCAACATGCGCCCATTCAACAACACATTATTAATTGCCATATTTTATGCTCGAATTTATGCGCAGTCTAATTATGTGTTTAGCTAAAGATAAGCAACATAAATAATTTAACTGTTGGATACTAGCTGAAAAATTTAATGAGTATATTTTTGGATTGTCCTTTAATTTTGATGAGCAATATGAAACTAGTAACGAAACTGTGTTAAACAATGCAGTTGCTGATGTTATATTAGATATATTAATATTTCTTACCTCCAAACGAAGCTTTTGGTTCTTTTGAGAGAAATAGTGAGAAATTGGAAACAACAAGAGAGCTGCGAACACAAAAACAGTGCAAGTTCCAACCCACACATCAATGGCTGTGACATACGTAATAGGTGGCAATGATGAGCGAACAAAATTGGCAGTGGTCAAGAGGGTGAGTAATGTAGTTACACCAAGAGTTACTCGTGCTGGTACTGCGGTCACTGGTAGCCAGAAGGAAATCCAAGATACCACGACAATGAAGCTAGTTACAGTGTAAGAATAGCCTAGTTGGTATCCATTCTGTCTTTCGAGAGAAAATGAGGCATTTACGCAAGAGAAATAGCCGGAGACATCTGAAATTAAAAGAAAAAACGCATAAAATAAATGGAAATCATAATAAGGATACATCTTTCTAATATGTTTTAAGCCCTTGAAAAGATAATTTTTTTTAATTAATTGTTTCTCTACATAGCAAGCAAATAAAAAAAATTATACTACAACTGTATATTAAATTTCTATTTCTTTAATATTTTAGTTTAGTTTTTAATTTTAGAGGTACTTAGAAAATAAAAAAAGGTTTGCAAAGCTAACATTTAATATGCAGTTTCATGTCCCACGTAACTATTTTTATAGCATCTAGTTATCATTAGTTTAGCTGATGTTACAGCCTACTTCTTATGCTTCCAAATTATAACTATAATCTAGATAGCAAGGATTCTGCATATGCATAATAATCGCAATCGATAAATAAATGTAATTTTTAAACCATAATATTAGTAGTTATAAGCAAACCACTTGTCCAGGCACCAGATGCTCAAGCACGCCGGAGCCCACGGTCTAGAAAGCAGACATCAAAGCACTACGGACCATGGTTCTCTAAAGGCTGTTTGTGCCGCTGTGTTTAGTTTAGTTTAGTTTAATATTAGTAGTAAGGAGAAAGAACTAGATTGTATAACAGCTGTAATTATAATTATAATACAACAGCTGTAATTATTATAACAAATATACAGCTCGATGCGACCATTTTTAATGATTTTATCCCAAATTAGATAACTCCTTTCTTGGAAACAGAATCTTTTATAAGCAAGGGAAAGTAGTTTGCATTTTCATCTCTGCTTCTAAATCAAAATACATCTAGAATCACAGTGCAAGTTATAACTGGACTTATCAGTAAACAGTACGTGATTTCATTTCTCTTGGCTCTATTGAACATGACAAGAACACGATCTTAAACGAACGCGTTTGGAAGAAGGAGTAAGTGAGACACAAATCATTGATTTTATCATATAAAATCCAACCTCATAAAGCTTCCGTGCAGCTGCAGAACGTCTTATTCGAGCTTCTGTCGCAAGCTGAAAGTTTAAAACAAACTGTCTTGCAGTCGCGTCATAGTTTTTTCAAGACGAGGGTAATAGACACGTTCTTCTGATGCAGATTTTTCTCTTAGATTCCTTTGGCCAGAATGTCTAGGAATTTATTCACTATCTGAAAAGCGGTTTCAATGACCACTGAACTTCATGACTTTCAGATCGAAGTCTGAAACGCTTTCGAAGAATAATATGTAGGATAAAAATGATTTTTTTTATTTCCTTCCTACAGTAACTACAAGATTACAACTTACTACTTTCCTCTCGTTGAAACTAATTTGCTGCAAAAAGTATTATCTTACTTAGCGATTTTGATATGATATGATCATATTTCATTTGATATAAAGCGTTATCTCACTTCGTATCAAATGTAATACACTTTTATCTTCTGTTTTTCATGTTTATTATGTTGAAGATAAATTAATAATTTTAAGTAGACTAAAGAAATAATCGTGATTTTTCTCCATTTTCTATTCCATTCATAAGTTTTCTCTTTAATTAACCTTATGGAAATTCTGAAAGGGTTTCGACCTTTTATAAATTCTGTGCATCAAACCTATTTCAACAATCTTTACATTGTTGAACAACAAGTTTTATTTTAAACAGCAGAATAATATAACGTCACATTCAACTCCAACTTAAAACTTTTTAACCATATTATGGCTAGAATTTAAAGCGAAGTAACTGTTATCTGTATAGCAGCAAAATTAGACAAAACTTCTAATTACGTTTAAAATATTTAACTAATTTTAAATAAAATTGTTCTTTTTAAATAATATTTATAAATTCTATGCAATGAAAAACTGAAAATAAAACGAACTATTAATTTCATGTACTGTATACAAAGTTGCTAGCTGCGACCAAAGCAAAATTTATGAGTTCTATGTACACCAGAAAAGAAAGCGAATAAAAACATTTCAATATGAATGAAGTCAGTTCATTTTTTCCAAGCAGCAATCAATTTGTAAATAATATTTTTGTTGTCAAACCCGGACACAGAAACTTTGGGCACTTCAATTTAATAGGTATACTTATGACGTCATGATTTAAATTTAGCGTAATATAACAACTTTTTCTCAATATCAATAAAAGAAGTAACATGGCAATAACATACTGTGTCAGGTATCTTAATTTGAAACAAAACAGTTGCCAACAGCAGCTATTTAGTATTTAAAATGCTTACGCTAACGGAAAATTTTCGATAAACAATGACGTCACATGAAATCGCATCTTTCTTCAACGTCAGAATATGACCTTATATAATAATAACATATTTAATGTTTGGCAATGCTATTTTTATTTCATATTTTGTAAAACTTACAGATTTTTTTATTAACAAACAATTTTTCATTAACGATTTGAAAGCGACCAGTGGCAACACTTTTCGAAATAAGGCAGCCTCCAGCGTGCGAGACTGTTGCCACTCGGAAAAATAAGGGGGAAATTAGCGTTTTCGGAGTTTTTAATGAATATCTTGGCTGAAATATAATGAATATTGTGAAGATAAGAATGGTCTAAATTAATGAATATTGTGAAAATAAGAATGGTCGAAATGGCTACCTACGAATTTTTGGAATCCGGAGATAACTCTCTCTGAATTCAACTCCCCGCCGTTCCGGAGGAAATAGTGCCATAAACAAACAGACAGATATGCAGAGATTTTTAATAGTATTGATAGTCCACAACAAGCTTGTACAACATATGGCTACAATACAATTTTTGTTTTTATGAATTAAATAGGATTTTTTCAAACACTAAAAATTAACATATAATTGTTCAAATATAGGTATAAGTTACCTAAGCCTCATATTTAACGTTTACCTCTGTCTTAAAATTGCAGCTCTAATAAAAAAAAATTGAACACAACTTACTTACACTGAACTGTAGTACTTACTTACACTGAAGTGACAAAAGTCATGGGATATCTCTTTTTGCCCGGCGAAGTGCAGAAACTCGACGTGGCATGGACTCAACAAGTCGTTGGAAGTCCCCTGCAGGAATATTGAGCCATGCTGCCTCTATAGACGTCCATAATTGTGAAAGTGTTGACAGTGCAGGGTTTTGGGCACGAACTGACCTCTCGATGATGCCCCATAAATGTTCCATGGGATTCATGTCGGGAGATTTAGGTCATTCGCTAGAATTGTCCAGAATGTTCTTCTAACCAATCGCGAACAGTTGTGGCCGGTGACATGGCGCATTGTCATCCATAAAAATCCCATCGTTGTTTGAGTACGTGAAGTCCATGAATGGCTGTAAGTGATTTCCAAGTAGCTGAAGGTATCCATTCCAGTCAATGATCGGTTCAGTTGCACCAGAGGACCGAGTCCATGCCATGTAAAAACAGCCCAGACCATTATGGAACCACCATCAGCTTGAACAGTGCTTTGTTGACAACTTGGGTCCATGGCTTCGTGGGGTCTGCGCCACACTCGCACCCTACCATCAGCACTTACCAAATGAAATCGTGACTCATCTGACCAAGCCACGGTTTTTCATTCGTTCGGACCAACCGATATGCTCACGAGCCCACGAGAGTCGCTGCAGGCGATGTCGTGCTGTCAGTAAAGGCACTCGAGTCGGTCTTCTGCTGGCATAGCCCAAGGAAGACAAATTTCGCCGCACTGTTCTAGCGGACACGTCCCTCGTACGTCCCACATTGATTTCTGCGGTTATTTGACGCAGTGTTGCTTGTCTGTGAACATTGACAACTCTACGCAGACGTCGCTGGTCTCGGTCGTTAAGTGCAGGTGGTCGGCCACTGCGCTGTCCATGGTGGATGTTATGCCTGAAATTAGATACTCTCGGCACACTCTTGACACTGTGGATCTCGGAATGTTGAATTCCCTAACGATATCCGAAATGGAATGACCCATGCGTCTAGCTCCAACTACCATTCCGCGTTCAAAGTCTGTTAATTCTCGTCGTGCGGCCATAATCAGGTCAAAGCCTCTTCACATGAATAACTTGAACACAAATGAAAGCCCTGCCAAAGCACTTCGCATTTATTCATTTTCTACGCAATACTACTGCCATCTGTATATTTGCATATTGCTATCTCATGATTTTTGTCACTTCAGTGTATAATATAAAGACGAAAACATTCAAATCTCAGTAAGTAATTTAAAAGTAATGTGCTATGATCGTTATCGAATATGGACGCTGTGAACAATAACTGCTGCTTTATACCCATGAACAGGGTAGAAGAGATTTCGGATGCATGGATGAAGACATGATGGACTGCAGACTTTGGGATAATGCAGTGCAGGCAATTAATAAATTCTTTACCTATTTGTAGACGCCGGTAGTCTTTGTCGTGCCAGTATATGCGTTGATCGGAAGCGTTCAGTTGGGAAGAGATATAGTAAACGCGCTGGCCAAGACAGACTCATAACCTATTGTATGTCAAGCTGTAAGATCTAACCTTCTTTGCTATCTTGTAGTTGATGTGATCTTACGAGAAAGGCCTAAGTGACTTCTCGCACAGACGTGAATAATACTAGCACAGAAGAAGGGTAAAAGAAAACCTTTTATTACTCGTCAAACTCTTAACACAAATGCACGTACTTCATGCTTACAATAACACAAGCTATTTGCGGTGGAAATTTAAGAATAATTTTAACAATAACTTCAAAGATGAATTGTAAGGCTGGACTAGCAATTTAGTTTAGAGCTAACTAGGCTGCCTCAATAACTTACCCGACGATAGCGGATAAGCGGCTAAAAGATGTATCAACAACTCAGCGTAACAGCAGCAAGGACAAAATAGTAACGTGCGCTGGGTGGCGAAATCACGCTCTGAATAAACTTCTAGTTTCGCCTATTTTTATACTGTCTGTTTTTACACTTTTATGCATTTAAATTTGAATCTTGGTGAGAAAGTGTGAGGGAAATATGAGAGGCTCAGGAAAGATACCAAACTTAAAACAATTTGTTATGCAAACTAAGGGAAACCCCATAAGGCAAGGTTCGAATGTTGAGTGTGA